GTTTTGGCCATGTATGGTAGACAGTGTTTGATGTGTAAAGACCACTCCAAGTTTTGGCCATGTACTGTAGACAGTGGTTGATGTGTAAAGACTACTCCAAGTTTTGGCCATGTATGGTAGACAGTGGTTGATGTGTAAAGACTACTCCAAGTTTTGGACATGTACGGTAGACAGTGTTTGATGTGTGAAGACCACTCCAAGTTTTGGCCATGTATGGTAGACAGTGGTTGATGTGTAAAGACTACTCCAAGTTTTGGACAAGTATGGTAGACAGTGGTTGATGTGTAAAGACCACTCCAAGTTTTGGCCATGTATGGTAGACAGTGTTTGATGTGTAAAGACTACTCCAAGTTTTGGCCATGTACGGTAGACAGTGTTTGATGTGTAAAGACCACTCCAAGTTTTGGCCATGTATGGTAGACAGTGTTTGATGTGTAAAGACCACTCCAAGTTTTGGACATGTATGGTAGACAGTGGTTGATGTGTAAAGACCACTCCAAGTTTTGGACATGTATGGTAGACAGTGTTTGATGTGTAAAGACCACTCCAAGTTTTGGCCATGTACTGTAGACAGTGGTTGATGTGTAAAGACTACTCCAAGTTTTGGACATGTATGGTAGACAGTGGTTGATGTGTAAAGACCACTCCAAGTTTTGGACATGTATGGTAGACAGTGGTTGATGTGTAAAGACCACTCCAAGTTTTGGCCATGTACTGTAGACAGTGGTTGATGTGTAAAGACCACTCCAAGTTTTGGACATGTATGGTAGACAGTGGTTGATGTGTAAAGACCACTCCAAGTTTTGGACATGTACGGTAGACAGTGTTTGATGTGTAAAGACCACTCCAAGTTTTGGACATGTATGGTAGACAGTGGTTGATGTGTAAAGACCACTCCAAGTTTTGGACATGTACGGTAGACAGTGTTTGATGTTTAAAGACCACTCCAAGTTTTGGCCATGTATGGTAGACAGTGGTTGATGTGTAAAGACTACTCCAAGTTTTGGCCATGTACTGTAGACAGTGGTTGATGTGTAAAGACCACTCCAAGTTTTGGCCATGTACTGAAGACAGTGTTTGATGTGTAAAGACCACTCCAAGTTTTTTCCATGTACGGTAGACAGTGGTTGATGTGTAAAGACCACTCCAAGTTTTGGCCATGTATGGTAGACAGTGTTTGATGTGTAAAGATCACTCCAAGTTTTGGCCATGTACACACAGCATGTCAACGACAAAGTTTGAAAGGTTCGGTCTTACACCTCTGTTTTTGAAAATCCCATTTGAGATAACTGGTATCAAACATGTGTGAGATCAAATTCCAGGTCTATGATAGGCTACTCCATGGTGAGGACTTAAGGTCAAATTACATTCTAAGATGCTTTGGTGAAACATCAAAGGTTCCGACATTATTTTATCAGACGATAATGTGCACTTTTTGCATTACGTCACAATGTATTGGCGTCACTGCGCCGTTCTAGTCTGCCCCCTCGTAATCGTACACTTTTGCATTGCGCCACAATGTAACCGATACCACAATGCATGTCAGTTGTCATCGCCTCATACATCCTCCTACAGTAAATTACTCTGAAGCACCCCGTTTCTTGGTTTGCAGTTGCTTAACTCGGCGAAAATCACTGGAGGAAACATTACGTTTATGTTTATCGATGGATATAATGTATGAGTATGATTCACAATTAAACAGCGACACGGCAACATTCACAATATTTACATTCCCACAATGCATCCGTGGAATGCTGTGTGACTACTCAGCTTCATCTGGATGTACTGATCTTAACTTACACTGGTAGTAGAAATGCGACGTTCATATTGCCCCACACGGTTTATGTTAATCACAGATGTAATTAAAATAATTTAGAGAAGATATTTAACCAGAACGTAAACCGTCATCAAACTGTTTTTCTTGTAACGTGTGCGTCAGGTAGGGGGGCAGACGCGTCAATAGAACAGCAGGTCAGTTAGCCCTGAACGAGGATTGTTAATTTAGGTCACAGACACCGTCGCTTTTCTGTTTGTTTTCTGCCTTAGATTTATCGTCGATAAGTATTAAATTTGGCATCTTTTGCCCTGAACTATTTTAATGTTAAAGCACTCGGACGCAAGTGTGCTTTATTACACTATCCATGGTGGTAGAACAACACATCGCACTCACTGCAATAAAGAAGTTGCCTATCCATAGGACTTGGTTTTCCCAATTTGTGTTACATTGTCAATGATTGGTGCATTTAGGCAAGAGTGTGCCTCTCAACCAATGAAAGCTGATAATTGTTTTAACTAAAAATGCTGACAATGACAAGGCAAACATCAGATATGAACCGAATGACATTTGAACAATTTATATTCATCCATAAATGAACACCATAATAACCAAATTAGTCAATAATTGTTTTGTTATATCTAATTAGAGTGTAACAAATTAATCCTTGGAGTTTTTAAGATGTAAGGAATCAAATACATGGTCACAATGATGAAATAAACATATAATACACACACAGAGCAGGTATCTCAATCACGTGTGATTTCTGATTGAAAAATGAATTTTTGATTAACATGCCTGTTCTCACTTACTTATGTTCACTTAAAAGATCTTTTGTCACAAAACCAATGTGACACCTATCAAGTTTTATTTTCTAAATTGTTTTTTTTTTAAGAATTGGTTTAGACATGTTAGAAGGGGCCTTAGCCTTATCTGCCATTCTGTTAAACAACAGATGTTTGGCCGCCAGGTGTTGTGCCGGCACCTTTAAAGTTCAACTTACACTGTACAAGTTGCATTTGGCTTTCTGAGATGAAAATATGACCAAATGCCACTTTCCTTTTAGTTTCAGTTGCTTGGGAAATAACTCTAAACAAAGCTGTAACGAGTACGTGTTGAGTCAGGCTGGGTTGAGTAATGCTACCTCAGGTTCATGGAACCAAAGTGTCTACCTACAACAGGCCTAGAAAGCAGTATGTAGGATGATGTAAGCAATGAATATATATGTTATCTACAGCCTCATGAGAATATGCATTGATTTATGGTATGAAAAAGGCCCGTCCGACAGCCCAAGACAGGCTAGATTTCTGACGGACGGTCTACATTTACAGCTAGCCAGCCCAATGGTCTTTTAATTATTTTTAGAAATCATGTTCCATACATTGGTGTAATTTTCTTTGGATTGTCGGGTCAGGTTAATCCACTTTGGGCTGGTGACATTTGGAAGTTACCAGCCCTGATGTCTGGCTGGGATTTTGGCTTATTTCATACACTGATTGCTTAGATGCTAAAACTGGGTTATTCTAAGGTGTGCAAAGAAACATATAACTTTTTGTTAGACAAACGGTATCTCACACATGCTCATGCAGTAACCTCTGTTGCAGTGCTTCAAACTACACAGCCAGTATAACGGCAAATCTCCGGATGTCATTGACCACCATACAAGTCATCATAACAACATTAGGCCCTATCAGTGCTGATCCCCTGAAACAGATTAACATCAACATCATAACAACATTAGGCCCTAGCAGTGCTGATCCCCTGAAACAGATTAACATCAACATCATATCAACATTATGCCCTATCAGTGCTGATCCCCTGAAACAGATTAAGTTAACAGCATAACAACATTAGGCCCTATTGGTGCTGATCCCCTGAAACAAATTAACATCAACATCATAACAACATTAGGGCCTATCAGTGCTGATCCCCTGAAACAGATTAACATCAACAGCATAACAACATTAGGGCCTACCAGTGCTGATCCCCTGAAACAGATTAACATCAACATCATAACAACATTAGGGCCTATTAGTGCTGATCCCCTGAAACAGATTAACATCAACATCATAACAACATTAGGCCCTAGCAGTGCTGATCCCCTGAAACAGATTAACATCAACATCATAACAACATTAGGCCCTAGTAGTGCTGATCCCCTGAAACAGATTAACATCAACATCATAACAACATTAGGCCCTATCAGTGCTGATCCCCTGAAACAGATTAACATCAACTTCATATCAACATTAGGGCCTAGCAGTGCTGATCCCCTGAAACAGATTAAGTTAACAGCATAACAACATTAGGCCCTACCAGTGCTGATCCCCTGAAACAGATTAACATCAACTTCATATCAACATTAGGGCCTAGTAGTGCTGATCCCCTGAAACAGATTAACATCAACATCATAACAACATTAGGCCCTAGCAGTGCTGATCCCCTGAAACAGATTAACATCAACATCATATCAACATTAGGGCCTAGCAGTGCTGATCCCCTGAAACAGATTAACATCAACATCATAACAACATTAGGCCCTATCCCCTGCAGTGCTGATGATCCCCCTGAAACAGATTAACATCCCCCTGAAACAGATTAACATCAACATCATAACAACATTAGGCCCTAGCAGTGCTGATCCCCTGAAAGAGATTAACACAAACATGCCGCGAAACTAACCAATAATACAATGAAACACATAAAGGCGAGATAATTATGGATGTCAACATACATAAATTCTCGCCTTCATGTGCATCCCTTCTAAATGCCGTTGAAGTCTACATTGAAACATGTATATATAAAAAAACATCTGCAGTTATTTTACGCTGATTATAAGAAAAGTTATGGATCTGGACTATTTCAGGTGATTTTATTTGTGTGAGGAGTAGCCTGAACACACTCACACCAAAACTATCAATGATCCCTAACTTTTTCGGTTGAGCATGTTATTACATATACATGTAATGGGATACATGCGAAGAATGTTTCAATTATTATTGGAGGGTTGGATGGATGAATGATAACTGGAAGACCCATGGCAAGTTCACACTGACTATACACCTCCTAGAGTTATCTCCCTTATATGTGAGCCATGCAATATACCATCAGAACGCTCAAAGAAGAAACAGCTTCCATTCCACCAGAGATCTTGGTGCTGACAACCGTTTTCCACACAACATAAAGTGGTGGAGATGATTGGGCAAAATGAACAAGACAAGGTTACCTGGCGAAGAAGAGCAGGAAGAACCACGATCCCGGAATGGCTATGATGAGAAGGATGTCTTCCACTGTGTTGAGCTTCAGTATTCGGAACGGTATACACAACAGCATCAGTAGACACGATATCATGTACACCGTCTGAGCTGGAGCATGCATCTGGAACCAAACACCATCATAATCACACGTCACAATAAAAAATAGCAGCAGGTTTACTTGTTAGTCGTTAAACGTTGCACTCAGCAATATTCCAGCCTAACGGCAGTGGTCTGTAAAAATCGAGTCTGGACCAGACCATCCTGTGATCAACAGATCTACACAGTTGGGATACAATGATATGTCAACCAAGTCAGCACGCCTGATCACATGACCCCGTTAGTTGCCTCTTATGACAAGCATGGGTTGTTGAAGACCAATTCTAACCCGGATCTTCATGGATCTATGCAGCAAGACCGCACGTGCATCAAGTCACCAAGTCTTATCACCCAGTCCAATGAGTTCCCTTTCATGACGAGAACAGGTTGATGGGGACCAATTCTAACACAGGATAACATGCAAGAACAGCATGAAACTGCCCTATCATCACAGTCAGTAGGAGTGAGTGAGTCAACATTTACCATCACACAATCAGAAGGAACCATGCAGGAATAACATGAATATGCACGAATACTGCTCATTACTTCTTCATATGTCTTCGTCATATGAGCAAAATATTCTCAAGCACAACGTTAAACCCAATTTCACCTCACCTTCATATGTTTAAATTATAGCGCCTTAAGATCAAATTCATACCTTATACCATGGGATTTAACATCACATCTGTACTATAAAAATTTCTTAGAATCGCAAAAGTTAATCAAAAGATTTTGGCATCCATTCACAATTTCATTAAACAAAAAAAAAGATTTCAGATTGATCACTACTATGTAGATGAATATGCAGGTTATTCTTCATACCCGACACACCTCCAACATATTCACTGGTATTACCTTTGATTTACTATCTATTTCTAACTTGATTGTAACACTCTTCATTTGTGATTTGTATATTCCTGGAGCGGTATCTAGCTGTGGTCGGGTTACGGAAATGTTTAAACCAATAACATGCGACTGCCCTATCATCACAGTTGGAAATCACGGAAGGTCATCAATTCCAACTTGGAATCACTCGTGTTAACTTACGCAGTTCTGGATGAAAGGCTTGCATCCTTGAGAACCAATTGAAATTCCATCCACCATGATTGCACTAAAACATCCCATACACACCAGCACCTCTGCTATGTAGCGAACCTGAAACATTTCACACAGAAAACCTGTATAAAGTCCAAATGAGATTTATTTTGAAAACATATATATTCATTACATTATTATTTAAAAACAGGAAATGTCATAGCACCAAATTTAAAAGCAAGCAATTCGTTATTCACATTATACAGTTACAATTTATGATACAGGTCAACTTCCCTCAGTAGTTAACGAGATGCCCGCTCACGTGAGAAATTAGATCTTTCAGATTTCTCGCATCATAATGTGAATCCCTTGCAGTCGAAAAGTCCACACAGTCAGTTGTATAGCCACAAACATATTCAGAAGCCCATTAGAGGGTAAATGTGTTTGAATCACAATTCACAAGTACTTTTGGTTTCTGAACATTGAAAAACCTTCAAATGCATATGGGCCTAAATATTCTTTTAAATTTTCAAATAAAAAATTGACATTTTTTTTGTTCTTTATGTTTTAAATTTGTCACTGTAATTATAAACGTAAATTACTTCATGATCAATATTACTCTCAGACACGTCACATCAACACAATCTCTCTGAAAGACACCATCTGGTTTTGCTTGACAAATATTACACTAATACAAAATGTTTGCTACTAAAACTTAAATCATGCATGTATAAAAATGTATATTAATACCCTACACATGAAATAATATATCTAAAGTCTTCATTTCTTTTATTCTCAAAGTCCATGGTCAAATTTCATACAACATCATGCTCGCCAACAAACCTGCAGCATATGGTGGAAGGGAGATAATCCAATCCCACTATAAGTTCAACCTTCATGAACACATTTGTCAAATGACATGAGACAGCTATGGGTGTATCTGAATATAGCATTCAGAGTCATCCAACATGTAGTGCAGTATTGTGAGTTACATGTGACAACCGAATAGCTCCATGGCATTTCATGAGGCAAAATGTCTTTAACTGAGACTAAGATGGTTGCAAGAAGACTGAGCATGTAAAACCTGTGAGGTGAACTATGGTCTAACATCATATTTAAGATTATTTCGCTCATATGATGACGTGCATGTGTGTGTATGTGTGGTTGCTTGTACTAGTCCACACAACTGGTTTTATAGTGCTAGTTCACTGAGATACCATGCCGCAGTTAAGCATGAATACCCCACTCTGACACATTATACTGACTCCGAGCCAACCAGTCCTTGTTGTACCCATCAAAGCCAAGCGCTAGGCAGGGACCAACAAGTACCATATTTTAACGTCTTTTGGCATAACTGCTGCCAAAGTAAGGTAATGTAAAGTCTGTAAATACTGCTGATATAAACATATTCAGAGCTTATCCATCACTAATATTTTCTGCGATATATTTGTGAGTGACAACAAGACCTATCGTGAGACATCAAACTCTCTTGTGTGGTGAAAGTGTCAACTGTGACAAGCAGGTGATGTCATCTCATAATGACTCTACACCATCTGTGCTGCCTGGCCAATTTGTACAACATTTTGACAGGCAAATCAGACAGATAGATCCCTTAACAAGTAATGGCCGACGGTCGTTTGTCTCGCCAGCACGTAACACTCACAATGTCTATAGTCCCCCTGAAGCCCAGGAGCTGGCTCCCCTCTGGCCGAGTGTAGATGACGACGCTGATCAGCGCCAAGTGGAAGAATGCTATCACAAGTCGCAGGATGAACCGTCTCTGAAGATGACAAAATATTAAACAATTAATCTTACCCCAAATATCATATGACTGATGTATTGAGCAAAGAGCCATGTTGTTGGTCACAGTGACACACACTCAACAACACCACCAAGCTTCATCTATTAAAGATGGGATATTTAGGGGTCTGAATGATCAGAAACGTGTCACTATTTATTCTTGCTATGGGATCCCCCGGGTTTCCCCAGGAATGTGGAAATGGTCCGTCAGTGTTTTCGTTAGTTGAAGAATACTGTCCGAGAAGAACATACGGACATCAAAGAGTGGTAGTCAAACGGACATGTCAGCTGAAAAAAATGCATATTGTGTAACTCTAAATACCATTCAAACACCCGTGAAACTCTCACTTAAAAATATTTATGTGTAGGGGAGTTATTTCAGTTTATTACTTGTCCATGGAAGATACTGCAGTGTAATATTTTTACGGCGATATAACACTAGTGTGACCGCTAGACATATGACGTCATAATAGTTTACAGTTATGAGGTCACAAAGCTAATACCTCTGTCACAATGGTATTAGACCTTGCTTGACTCGTGGAAAGCTGAGACTCATCACACTACATAGGCAGTTTCTATCAATTATGTTGGAGAGTAATAAACAGAATACTAAAGACGCTTCTGTGTAATACCATTTTTATTAAACTCGTGAAAGATTTAGCATCAAACTTGATGTCTCTCGTTTGATACCAAATCATTAACTGGTTTAATAAAATGGTATTACAGGGAAGGTCATTTAGTATCCTCTATGTATATTGAGGTTTGGTAGTCTAGTGTAAATTAGTGTTGGGAATTGGTTGAAATCTCACAATTGATGATTGCTTCATTACCAACGAACAATCATCGAAAGAAATTGGTTAGCGTCATTTTTCAGATCTTCCTATCCAGGTTGTTATTGCAGATATGTATAACATGATGCAACTTGCTACTTTAAAGTGATGACTAATATATCATGAACATAAACTTCCCGGAGTCTTTAAGAAATATTCAGTCATGGTTTTTCAGTTAGTGAAGTGAGTTTTCTAAGAAATAAACACGTTTTCAGGCCCTGACAACTTCAACGATATGTTCCATTGTCAAGTGTTTCAAAGACTAAAACAGTTGTTCCAAAATCGTTTATGTTCGATTATGAGAAAATGTGATTGATTGCTTGGTCGTTTGGTCACTGCGACCAATCTTTGATTATTTAAATTAATCAGAACACCACTAGTGTAAATACAGGTATTCTAGTGCATATTCAGGAGTGAGTGAGTGAGTATGGTTTTACGCCACTTTTAGCAATATTCCAGCAATATCACGGCGGGGGACACCAGAAATGGGCTTCACACATTGTACCCATGTGGGGAATCGAACCCGGGTCACTAGGCTACCCCACCGCCCTGCATATTCAGGAGTGGTGTTCCAGTGTACAGTCAGGTGTGGTACACCAGACATTCATCAGGTATATTTACCTATATCTAACAATGTTCTCAACATATAACAAATGAAACCAATATCTCCTGACAATATCTCAGATGAACACATGCGGCACAGATCGTTACCCTGGCAAATGTCTTCCACTTCTCGTCCAGTAGCTGACGGATGACCCCTCCCTCCAACATGTCCAGGTGTTCCTCCGTCTCCCCATTCACGATGATCATCAGGGCCGAGTTCCAGTCTATAACACACACCACTCACATCATCATCAATCTCTCCATCCCTAAACACCACGTCACAATGAAGGAACCGAGTTCAAAGTGACCTACACAGGGCTCCAGATAAGGGCCGTATCGGCGTATGTAGGGATAAAAAATATGCATGATACGGTAGGAAATAATTTAGAAAACGTAGCAAATACGCACCACATCAATGGTGTACGGTCTCAGAATCATTTACAAACGTATTTTTCTGAAAAAGTCTTGTTTTATTGTTCATTGACCTGTTTACACAAGAATCAATGTTGTGGTGCATACATGAAACGAAACACAAGATTACTGATACTCCATTAATTTCCATTCAGTACTCTACATGTACACTTAAGGTTTTCCAGTACTCCTATATTGAACAAATAAGGAGTACGTACTCCTGATGTGAAAAAATTATCTGGAGCCCTGCCGACACTTTTTTTTCAGATACCCCTTCAAGACCCATAAGTTTTGTCTCAGAAGCCAAACAATGGGGCACCTGCAACAAGTTTAAGCTTCTGTTCTCTAAAACTTGAAACCAAATTCCATAATTGTTTGTAACAAATGCAAAAATCAAATCTCGCCCTAAATTCTGTTAACTGTTTGAAACAAATGATTTTCTTGAAAAGAATTGTCAAATCTTCCTCCATCCCATGTATTTCAAACTGTCATTGGTAATTGCTAGACACGTTTAATACACAAGTGCTGATACATATATACCCATGTAGACCCATGTACTTACTCATCGCCTCTTGCTAAACAATGTCAGTTGGATTCATTATTCAGTATATCATACTGACATAACATAAATGATCCATTTACAAACTTGTTTTAAGAGTGAGTGAGTGTGAGAGTTTAGTTTTACGCCGCACTCAGCAATATTCCAGCTATATGGCAGCAGTCTGTAAATAATTGAGACTGGACCTGACAATAAAATCAACAGCATCAGCATCAATCTGCATAATTGGGAACTGATAACATGTGTCAACCAAGTCAGCGAGCCTGGCCACCCGATCCCGTTACTCACCTCTTACGACAAGCATGGTTTACTGAAAATCAATTCTAACCCGGATCTTGACAGGTCTTTGTTTTAAGAAGTGATGCCATCACCACCATCACTCCTACCAGTACAACTAACACACAATTCTTATCACTTTAGAGAATTTTGATTGGATGACTATTTTTGGCATACAACTGTTGTGAATATTTATTACTCCCCCGTGGAAGATACTGCAGTGTAATATTTCTACGGCAATATTACACTAGAGTAATACCGCTAGACTTATGACGTCATAATGGTTACAGTTTTGACGTCACAATGCTAATGCTTCTGAATCATTGGTATTAGACCTTGGTTGACTCGCGGAAATTGATATGAGAGTCATCACACTGTTGGCAGTTTCTATCAATTTATGTTTCTAGAGTAATAAACAGAATACTAAACTCGCTTCCTTGAAATACCATTTTTCTTAAACTCGTGAAAGATTTAGCATCAAACTCGCTTTCGTTCGTTTGATACCAAATCATTAACTCGTTTAATAAAAATGGTATTACACGGAAGGTCATTTAGTATCTTCTATTTATCTAACAGGATGGAATAAAACACCCTGGATGACAGAGGATGGTATGAAGGATAGTTACTTGTTTCTCCCTTGTGTCCAATAGAGTCCAGGCTTGTGAGAGGGTAGGCCGAACACAAGATGTTGCTGTAGCGCCACAGTTCCTGAAACGATACACCACCATCAGTACACTTGACCAATCATCACACAGACAGGCAACACAAGACAACAGGCTGTGTTTCATTTCAACACCCCTACTGTATTTTCGAGGGTCGAAATCTGGTACTTTTGTGTTAGAACTGTCCTTGAAACAATGATCCACCATCAGTACACTTTACAAATCTTCACAGAAACAGGAAATATTTGAGGCGAAACAAGTGGATGTTTGAGGGAAGATCACATATACTTGTATCATTGCTTAGTGCAGGATTAAACAACACATATCTTGTACAAGGCAACTACTAAAAGCCCCATAATGATAAAACCTTCTTGATTACTGTTTTATACTCATGGCAGAACTCATTAAGAAAAACAAAACATTGAAAGAGCATTGAAATATGGATCCATTGTTTCTTTGTGAAATACAAATTTGGTTAGCATAGATTATCACTTTGACAGGTTTTACTTGTGTTCGGCACTATTCTCTCTGTGCTGCGAGAAGCGACACCTACTGGAGAATTGAAGACAGCGAAGCTGTTTATCTTAACAAGGGTATACAGTAAAGAGGTACAGCCAGACTGATGTGTTTTTGTTGTTGATTAATGCTTGCAAGACTTAAAGTCTGAAGGTATTGGAGAACATCATTGTTACGCACAGTACAAAACTACATAGTATCCCTTCAGAGATTTCAGGTAAACGAACTGGTGATAAAAAGCTTGGTCAATAAAATGTGAAATCTGAGATACATTATCACTAGACATGATAATTTACCATGTGTATTGTATTTTTTGGGTGTGATAGGCATAGTTTTAGATATAGAGATGTTCTGGTATACTCAGTCGGAAACTAGCAATCAGCTGATTCGTTCACAAATCTATCTGTGGCTCAACTAAAAACACCTAAATAATGTAATTTGGTGCCATGATCAAAGGAAACTTATTTTATTAGAAATTATGTAGTCCAATATCAAGTTATTTTATTTGCAACTATTCAAAATATAAATAGCTCTTTAGAAAATTGCTTTCTATTGCTGGATAATTATCATGTATGGGACGGTTTGACCAGTAACCATTGAAGCCTCACACTTTCCTGTTACAGCCAATGAATGAAAACAAAATGCAAACATCGTAATTACAACCCAAACAAGTTAAATGTATGATGTCAGGCGGTTAGCTTGTTTGAGGAATATGTCCATCAATATCTAGAAATCTATATCTTCAGCTATACAAAGAAACTCGGTCAATATCATGTGTCTAACAATCAGATATTTAAAAATATCTCAGCATTTCTGGATATAATAACTCGTTCAAATTTCAACTCAAGATACTCAATTAACGTATTACTAGCTAACCCTTTGAATAAAGTATGTAGTTTTTACACAGGCACCAAGATATCGTAGTATTCCCTCTGCTATAGTAACAATACATACATAAACATTTCTCACAATCCACTGTGCAAGATAACAGTGATTAATCAATCAACATATCGGTTAATCCTGTGAATGAATTGAATCCTGTGAATCAACTGGCCATTCGTCTCTAATGTTGTGCCGTCAAGTGCATATTACATGCAAGACATTCACCACATTGAACTTTTATTACATGAGCAAATGTCCCATACGACTTATACAAAACGAGTGTGAAATTTTGTATTGCCCAAGCAAGCGGGAGAGCGAGGAAAATACAAAATTTTGCACGAGTTTCGTAAAAGTCGCATGACATACTTACTGGAATGTAATAATTTCTTTATTATTGATTTTATTCATTCCATTTGTGCAAGTGTGACGGCTCTGTTAATTGACGTCACATTCCATTGTTTAATGACATCACAGATGACGAAATACAGAAACAATCGTTGCTAAGCAAAAGTGATGTGCACAGTCTTAGATTTAATAATTACACCTGACATGAGAAATGCCAAAGGTGAACCACTGTTGGCTGTATAGCCTTAACACGCTCAGAGTCAGGGGAGGACTTTGTTCGGGTATTATGCATAGCGTAGGTAGATCCGAGTGCTGCCACCACTAATAAATACTTGTAATAAAATCATTAACCAAGCATCAAGTAAATGAAGACAAATTCACAAATGTAGGGCTTATACAATAAAACATGGATGAGAAGAAGGGAGTAGGAATTGTTGTTTTACATGCAGTTTGCCTGAAAAAGTAGGGGTCCTTACAGTTTTAACGACACTAAGTGAACTTCATTGTTGCAAAAATTATATTTAAACGTAAATGCTGTATTCTAAAGTACATAAATGTACTTACACATTCACATGTGCATACAAAGTGAATTGTTTGGTTAATCATAATGCAATCAAATATAAGAATTTAAAGGGATTCCCCTGAGAGTAATTCAACAGTGTTCAAACAAGATCAGACACATTTTGTAGAATATGAATAGACTACACTTCAAACATGTGACAATACAAGCTTACCAAACTGTCCAATTCAAGCATTTCCTTGAAGATGGTATGTCTGCCGAGCTGGCTGGCAAGAGTGAGCGGAGTAAGGCCATACTTGTTCTTGATGTGGGTATTGGCGGGCCGTTCATGGTGGCACACTGCATAGCGGTACATGGTCTGGAAGATCAAGTCAGTACAACATAGTTTATCTTGATGTGGGTATTGGCGGGCCGTTCATGGTGGCACACTGCATAGCGTTCATGGTGGCAGTACACTGCATAGCGGTACATGGTCTGGAAGATCCAACATACTTTGTAAGCCGCTTGACATATAGAAATTAGACGAAAATTTAATTCTCTTTGGGTCCTTTTTTGTGTTAGAATACTTTTTCAGTCTCTGAATTAAAACATCCCAACTTTTTTACTCAAAAAGAAGCTAAACAATTTATTATTGGCAACAAAATCGAAAAACAATATAACACATGGTAAAAGCTTACTACAGTCCGTTTGAGTCAGAAACGGACCGCTGAATTGCAAATTTGATCATTGTACAAAATTGCCACATAAATATAAATAGTACACATGTTTATCATTTACTAATACCCAACAGCTTTCTCATATTTGAAAATTTTCCAGACTCCACCAAAAAAGTTGTTTAAGAAACTATCATCATTGAAAACGCAAAAGTTGTTATCTGTCACGGCGGGGTGAAACCGCAGAAACGGAACAGCCACTATCTCGCCGTGCACGGAATACACATGCCTGATGAAAAATGAAGTTGAATGCTGACGTGAAACGGTTGATGATTAAAGTGTACAATTTTTTCCGTGCTGAAGCCGAAAGGGGCAAACCATTTTATGCCATTAATAAATTCCGTAAGCAGGCATCAAAAGCTTTAGGAGTATCAGCAAGGGTACTGACAAATGTTCTGGAACACAAACATTGTGAGGGTGATGCGAAGCAGGTAGGGGTCTTGTCAAAATCACACAAATTAAAACATTAGGACAACTTTCAAAAGAACCATGTAAGGCAGTCTATCAACAAGCTCTATTCTGAAAACAAATACATGTCGCTGAAAATTTTAACACAACCTCAGAGTATTAAAGTTGTGTACACACTCTGCCGACTCTTACACTCTTTCGGGTATCGTTATAAGAAAATTTCGGGGGAGAATAGGTCAGTACTCTGTGAACGCCCTGATATCGTTCGCTTGAAAATAATTTTCTCAGGGTTATACAGAAGCGCGAGGAAGGGTTCGAGCCAGAGTACTTGGACGAGACGTGGGTCAATGCCTCGCACACTGCCAGCAGTCAGTGGGTACCCGATGGGGGTGATAAGGGGTCACGTAGAAAGCTGCCTCTAGGGAAAGGAGAGAGACTAATCATTCTCCATGCTGGTTGCTCCAGCAAAGGCTTTCTCCCAGGCTGCGACTTGGTATTCAGGGCAAAGTCCACAGATAACAGAGACTACCATTCCGAGATGAATGGTGCGGTTTTCCTCGATTGGGTTAAAAACAAGTTGGTACCAGCTCTACCAGAGAAGTCTTTTATCGTAATGGACAATGCCCCATACCACAGCATGCAGGACCCCGACAGTAAAGCCCCAAACAGTCGAAAAGGTGATATGATATCATGGCTCGACAAATTCAGATCGCACGGCCTTCAAAGGCAACGAAGCCTCAGCTATATGAGATCATAAAAACCCACAAAGGTGAACCTTTCTACAAAGTTGACAGTTACATAAAAAGTAAGGGTCACGATATTCTGCGACTTCCACCCTATCACTGTGACCTTAACCCCATTGAAATGATATGGGGTATTGTCAAAGGAGATGTTGCCAGATCAAACACAACTTTTAGATTACGTGACGTAGAGGTTTTTGTTAAGGAATCCCTTAACAAAATCACGACTGAAACTTCGCAAAACTGTGTCAACAAGGTAGCTAACGTCATTGAACAAGGTAACTGGTCTAGGGATGGCTTACAACAGGCAACTGTGGCACCACTTGTCATCCCTTTAAGTCGTGACTATGACACTACGACGGACGAGGAACCGACAGGTCTCCCGGAATAGATTTTGAGATGTCCCCTGCCATGACTGGCTGTTCCGTTTCTGTGGTTTCACCCCGCCGCGACAGACAACAACTTTTGCGTTTTCAATGATAATAGTTTCTTAAACAACTTTTTTGGTGGAGCCCAGAAAAATTTTCAAATATAAGAAAGCTGTTGGGTATTAGTATATGATAAACATGTGTACTATTTATATTTATGTGGCAATTTTGTACAATGATCAAATTTGCAAATTCATCGGTCCGTTTCTGACTCAAACGGACTGTACTTGAAACCTGACTTTCAGATTACTATATTCGATCTGCCATGACACACTAGCTGCATGCGTAGCAATAGGATGATTTATAACTTCTTTCAAGCAGTATATTTTTCAAGAACAGATCACTTTGTTCCAGACAGAAGCAGGTCTTTCCAAAATATCACATGACCCCCTAGCAAAGTCAAACTGGGATCTATTCTTCATGGAACTCTACATGGAACTAATGTAAACACTGAGTGAATGAAAGGGTGGGACACAGTGTCCAAGTTTATCAGTTCCATCAAAGATCGACTAGTTAAAGTTTTGATGACACAATGTCTGACTGCAGTGTGATATTATCTGCACAGTGTGATATTATCTGCACAGTATGATATTATCGGCACAGTGTGATATTATCAATGATTCTTCTCTGTAATCTTTGAGTGAGCAAATAAGAGTTGGGTTTTATGCTGAAATAATTTAGCAATATCTAAGATCAGGGACACCATTTAAAGAAATGACACAATGTCTGCTTCACACCCATGTGGAATCTGCTTCGAACCCAGGTCTTCGGTCTTCAGGTGAGTTTTATGCCGCTTTTAGCAATAGTGAGGGACCAGTTAAAGCTTCACCCATTTGGCAGCAACCCAGTTATGTACCCAGCATGTCCACAGGCCACCATGTCTTTGCGAATATTATAAAAATATTTTTGAGAAGATCCCCGACTCGAAATGCTCCACAGTACAATACATTATGACAAGGCCGGACACCGCCTTGTTTTGTGCTGACATATCGTCATCCATTTGTGTCAAGATCATTTAGTTGAGAGTCAAAATCGGGTTTAAATCGACTTGCAGAAATAACAATAAAGAATTGGTAGGTGTCATGAGTGGTGATCGATAGGCCATCCATGATAATATTTACATTAAGTTTTAATCGATTGCATGCAATGGGAGCATAGCGATCGGCAAACCAGGGGGTAGGGTACACTGAAGTTCCCGCCTTGTCATAAAGTAGTGTACTGTGTAGAATTTCGAGTCGGGGGTCATCTCAAATCTTTGATATTTTTCATAACATCTTTAATCCTCGCAAAGACACAAGGGCCTGTGAGGTGAGGTGAAATTGGGTTTAACGTTGTACTTGAGAATATACAAGGGCTTGTGAGCATGTCTGGTGGGGGGAACACCCATAGACACACGTCTCAGAAATTCTCCACTTTGGTCAGACCCACAAGCATGGTGCACACAAACCAAGAAACACAATCAGGGTCAACCAGGATTCGAACCCATGATCACAGGTTTCTGGCCCTGCCAAGAGATGCAACTCTACAGAGCATTCACAGCGCCTTAGTTCACTAAGCCAATACTCTCAGACAGTGGGAAAATTATACGTGAGAATCAAAATGGTTTAGCCAATGAAAATCGAGTGCACACTAGTCCTTTGACCGATATAATAATAAAGTTTATCAGGGTCTGAACACATCTGAGCAGTTATAAACGGGAAACATGACAGAATCAATGCATAGATTTCTTTAAAAGTAGTTCCTGCAAGCTGACCTCATTTGCATATTTATTGGATTGTTATACATGCTTACCGGATTGGGTTTAGCATCAATAATACAATAAATAATCTTACAAGGATGTTTGCAATATCAAACTGTATTCCATTAGCTCCATAACAGCTCTTGAACACTGACGAATATATAGTGAAGGCAGCAATAACTTCAGGAAGAAATGATCGGTTGGGAATATTGACATAAGTTTGCATCTAGCAAATATTTCATTCAAAATAGTAATGACATCCATCAGGCACAACACACACATCCAAATCACAGTATGTTCTATCAATCCCTCCTGGATTCCGCGACGCATTTCTAAGAATTACACAGCAAATTAAAGTGAATTCTGCATCCCATTTTTCAAAATACTGCAAAAAAAACTTGAAAAAAAACACCCCACAAAATAATGCAATTTCAATCTTCCAAGGATCGATTTTTGTGCACATAATTGCAGTGTCAAATTCAAATAATATTATTGGAAGGTTTCTGAAGAAAATATTACCTCATGAGTATTTTGAAAATATCCTTATAACAAATGTCTCAGTTCGTTTTTGTGTAACCAATCATCATTTTGATATTTACCCCTACTTTTCATTTCGGTTGATAGTCAATCTTGATTTAACTTTCAAAATAAGTAAATTCTGCATGAAAATGAATTTTCCACGGACCGGACGTTTTTCTGCATCAAATGGTAATTTCTGCGATTCATACTGCAACTGCGGAATTGCGGAATCCAGGAGGGACTGTTCTATGGACTGCCAGACTCAAGTACCTGACCGCTAAAACCACCTGGCCTGTTACTAAGAGTCATTGACCCTGAATATAAAACTGATTAATCCACTGCCAGCTTAATGGAACCTCTAGCCATCTCAACGGGACAATCTTGCTATGAGAAGATCACTGAGGATAAGAGGATATCACTTGGTTTTCCGTTAGTTTTGATGGAATTAGAATTCATATTTGTTTGGGAAACTGGTAAAAATATAAATGCAAAATCATGAACTGTTGTGTTGAATATACATATTTTGTGAGTGAGTGAGTGAGTGAGGTTTTATGCCGCTTTTATAAATTAGCAATATTCCAACAATATCACAGCAGGGGACACCAGTAAAGGGCTTCACACATTGTACCTACATGGGGAAAAGAACCTGGCCAGCTATATTTGAAATGTTCGTAGACCTACAAACTTCTTAAGCCTATTCTTAACACATTGACTACAATCAAAGTTAAGAATTCTTAGGGCTACGAACGTTTCGAGAATTATACGGACGCAGGTCTTTGGTGTGATGTTTTAAGCACTTCTCTCTTTTTTGAGAAACCAGAATCAGACTTAGTCTCTGAATACTTAAATTTCAAAGGAGCCTCAGCAAACTCAGAGATTCAAAACCTGAGGAAATGCTTCATGAAGAGCTTTTGCATTTCAGAAAGGGGCGAGAGAAAGGGACACGAATATGGTTCAGGGACTGTGAGACAGACTACTGTTTCGGAGTGTCTACTGACCGGCTGGTCTGCAATGACCACCATGTGTAGAACTGTGTTTCCGAAGGAGTCCTGGAGGTTGGGGTCAGCTTTGTGCTCGATGAGGTAGTCGTAGATGTCCTTGTGACAGACACAGGCAGCGAACGCCAGTGGGTACTCTCCATAGTATGCGTAACCTGCAATAGAAACCACACCGTCTATATCATTTACAGTAGATGTCCTTGTGACAGACACAGGCAGCGAACGCCAGTGGGTACTCTCCATAGTATGCATAACCTGCAATAGAAACCACACCGTCTATATCATTTACAGTAGATGTCCTTGTGACAGACACAGGCAGCGAACGCCAGTGGGTACTCTCCATAGTATGCATAACCTGCAATAGAAACCACACAGTCTATATCATCTACAGTAGATGTCCTTGTGACAGACACAGGCAGAGAACGCCAGTGGGTACTCTCCATAGTATGCATAACCTGCAATAGAAACCACACAGTCTATATCATCTACAGTAGATGTCCTTGTGACAGACACAGGCAGAGAACGCCAGTGGGTACTCTCCATAGTATGCATAACCTGCAATAGAAACCACACAGTCTATAGCATCTACAGTAGATGTCCTTGCGACAGACACAGGCAGCGAACGCCAGTGGGTACTCTCCATAGTATGCATAACCTGCAATAGAAACCACACCGTCTATATCATCTACAGTAGATGTCCTTGTGACAGACACAGCCGGCGAACGCCAGTGGGTACTCTCCATAGTATGCATAACCTGCAAAAGAAACCACACCGTCTATATCATCTATCGGGGGTGTTCCATATACATGACATCAGGAACTTTTTCCGTTTTCTTGTTAATTTTTTAAAATAAACAACATAATTAACATTGGAAATTCAACTGGACACTGGTACAGTGTGATATACAAATTTGCTTGCCCGGCAGAAAAAAACACTGGACTCGGACGTCGGGCAATGGGTTATTTCCACCCCTGACATGGCTTATTTGTTTGTGTTTATCTCTACATGGAGTCAGCAATATTCCAGCTGCAAGATGGCAGCCTGTACATGATCAAGTCTTGACCAGACAAACAAGAAAACAAACAAACAACATCAACTCTATAAATGTATTGGGTTATTTGACTTCAATGCATCTCCACAAACGGTAGTAGAAGCGTGACTATGTAAACGGTTGCAGACATAATGTTGACAATACACTTCTGAAAGTCATGTACTTTAACCCAGTCAGTTCCTGAAGAGTAAATGGCATTTCATTAACTTGCTGCAAATTGATTATGGACGAGGCTAAGCCACACAAATCCCCATTGTCATCTTCAATCCACAAGATCTACCCCGGTGCAAAATGACAGACTAACAAAAGGTGTTAACGGATCATTCAACATGGCCATGTTGGTCGCTTTCAAATCACTTTCATTATTTCTCGATGTTTGTATTGAATGCAACATTAAACACTAAAGAATACATATACCTATGCCTCAAAACTACTTCTACTGGTTTAAAGTTGTGACCCAATTCCATCAATAAATTCTCTAACAAAACTGATCAGGTGAAAGTGCCTTGTATGCAGAGTCGATGGGTCGGCATAAAGGATCCGACAGCAATATGATTGATGTGCTCTTGTGTCAAGGTTTCTTCACAGATCGAAATAATGAAAGTAGAAAAGAGAATGTGGGTGATCTTGGCCCAGGCGATCTTGGCCCAGGCGATCTTGGCCCAGGTGATCTTGGCCCAGGCGATCTTGGCCCAGGCGATCTTGGCCCAGGTGATCTTGGCCCAGGCGATCTTGGCCCAGGTGATCTTGGCCCAGGCGATCTTGGCCCAGGTGATCTTGGCCCAGGCGATCTTGGCCCAGGCGATCTTGGCCCAGACAGGTTGGTTAGGCTCATCAGCCAGGTTGTCGTTGTTAAATGCCCTAACTCAGCAATATTCCAGCTATATGACGGCGATCAGTAAATAATCGAGTCTGGGGCAGACAATCCAGTGATCAACAGCATGAGCATCGATCTGCACAATTGAGATCCATGTCATCACTGGACACTCGCCCCTTTCACATGCAGCCCTGACAGAGAATGGGATTTCTCCCAGGAAGTGCTGCCAGTTGACCTATTGTTGGGAATCGGAAACGAAATCCACTTTCGTTTAACGGAGGACTTGTGGTGAACTATTTTCGATTATAATCGAAATATATACATTTTTAATGTAATCACCAAATTTAAGGGTTTTTCCCCAAGTTTTTTCTAATTAATGCTATTTATAACTAATACTGTCATGCAATGAAATACACGCATGCAAGAAAGACACTGGAATTGTAATTAAACAATAAAAGTGGTTAAAATTTTACAAGTGCATAGCTTTACGCTGTTGAGCGCATGTGTGTTTGTGAAGATTCATCAAATTTAATGGTTAGTTTACTTCATTCAAGTGTGTTACACTACAACAAAATTCCGATTAATCGAAAATATGTTTTTTTTACAATCGATAATTATTTTTATTTCCTCCTTTCGATCGATTATTTTCGATCATCGAAACATCACTAAATTGAACCCACTAAGAACGTTTTGGAGAATGTGCAGACTCCCCTACACTGCAGCCTTCTGCATTACCAAGAGATATTACTATTATTAGCTGCTATATTACAATACTTACCATCAAAATTTGTCTTCTTTTTCCGACTCTTCTTCTGGTCTTCAGGCAAGAAAAATCGCCCAGTGGCTCTCTGGTTGATAATAGCACCATTTTCAACAAGGGTTTTCACACCCTCAAAGTCCCCCTGAACCACTGCTATATGCAAGGCACTTTCACCTGAAATGGAAAAGGAAACTTTAGGATGTATGTAATTCTATTTAACAGATGCTCTAGTTGTTGCTTGGGATAGCTGTGGCCCAATCATTAAGGAGCCTAGATTTACTGTATAGAGTTGTGTCCCTTGAACATGCCAGGAACCTATGATTGTGGGTTTGAATTCTGCTTCACCATTATTATAGTTCTGGGTTAGTAAGTTCCATGTGCTTATGGGTTTCCGTAAAGTGGTAAATGTCTGAGACTTTGAATCACTTCATCTGCATCTGAGCATCGCTCTGGGCGTTCATGAGGCGGTGAGGTAGCCTAGTGGTTAAAGTGTTGGCTCGTCACACAGAAGACCCATGTTCAATCCCTCACATGGGTACAATGTGTGAAGCCCATTTCTGGTGTCCTCCGCCGTGGTATTGATGGAATATTGCTAAAAGTGGCGTAAACCTAAACTCAATCATTCTGGTCTTTCGTCCCACAACAAGTTGACACATATTGACATAACTGGAATAGTGAGTTAACTCCAGGTAACATGAGCAGCTGTGTTTTCAGTTCCCAATGATTCTAACAATCATGTTTCTTTTCACAAGCTATTGATATTTTTAAATACCATTTTATTCCATGTATTTCAGATGTGCATGTGTATATCGATTTCTTACATGATAACGATATGATACAGGCCTTGTCAGAAAACCCATAGATGAGGATGACAGTGTGCGAAATAGTTTCCAAATTTTGCTAGCCAGTCGGGTAAGCTGTGCCTGAAAGTTACTAGCCCACAAAATAATTCACTAGCCCAAATTTGAATGTAGAAACTAAGCAAAAATTACAAAAATAGATGAGAATAAGATATTGTCGGCATGACCCGGGTTTCATCATTAAGCTGCTAATATGATGAACATTTTTATCATGCGATAATTTTGCATGATTTAAAGGTGTATTATAACTTAAAAAGTCAGAGGTAGTGATTATTTACAAAATGACCCCATGAAAATTCACTAGCCAGTCAGGCCAGTGACTGTGGAGATTTACTGGCCCGACTGGATTTTTACTAGCCACGTGCTAGCGGGCCTGGTTCAGTGGTTATTTGGCACACTGGAGGATGATGAAATAATTTAGCATGTGGCGACACAAGAATGACATATCACAGAAGTTAAGTACTGTTGATTGTGAGGAGTGGCCAGATTGGTCACCTTGATTGCTGACCTTGAGTTACTGTTTAAAACAAATAATGTTATTTAAACGACAGTGATATTATCAAGTCTTGGAACCCGCATCGGACTCATAGACTTGGTTCATATATGTCAATAACTATATTGTCTGATCCATATTGAAATATTTACAGACCACCCTCATAAAACTTGAATAGTGTGCTGGAGTATAAGAATGTGGTTGACCTTAGTGAGCGAGTGAGTTGGGTTTTACACTGCTATAAGCAACATTCCAGCAATATCCCAGTGGTGGACACCAGAAATGGGATTCACACATTCTACCCATGCGGGTAATCGAACCTGGGTCTTGGGCATGACGAGCAAAAGCTTTAACCATTGTGCTACCTCAATGCCCCTCGTTGAGCTTAGAAGAGATGAACCAGAGGTCGATACAGTGAACAACAATTCTCTCCCTTGGGGTATGATTACATGCAATCACCCATTCACCAAGCCTGACGACTCAGTCCATGTGTTGCCCCTATAACCAGCATCAGGTGCCTGTGAACTACTCCGACAAAAATCCCTACAGTGGATTATGTAGGTACCTAGGAGATTTGAAACGGATAAAAATCAGTTTACAATTCCCAAACATGAATCATGGTTCATGATATTATTTTGCATTCATATAATTCATTTCAAGAGGAAAACTTTCAAATTGAAGTAGTCTTTAATTCAGTTCCATTCCAGAGCATGCTAAACTATCCCTCACATAACTGTTAATCCTAACAACATCTTAGAACACAACGCAATGACTTAATACCCTTATAGACGAAGAAATCTTTACACCACAAACAGTGTTACATTTCAAATAAAAATCCCACAAATACCTTTCCACAACGGTCCATTAAGCACCAAGAATAACATTACCACAATAGCTCTGGGAAAAGATTATCTCACTCTCTGACATAGAAACCAACAATGAGAAATATTAGAACTGAACCTTGTTCCAGAGAGTAACAGGACATTACATTTGTCCATGGGGCTCAATTTCATCCGGGAATCAATACACGTCATCGTAAATGTAGTCGGCGCTTATTGCAGGTGGGAAAAATCAATGGCAGGTCGGTGTCTAAATGAAACTAAACAGGTAAACGCTTCACCCTGGTAAACAGCCACATGAAATATCCCAGCCTATCAGTGTCGTAAACAATGATCAATGATTGACGGTTGTGTGACGACAATTTACTTTCACACTCTCCATATCGTTTATGAACATTTCGTCTAGCATGTGCCGACGGCGCTGTGTGAAAGGGCTGAGTATGGTAAGGTAATTAATTAATATCAAGTCTTGAGGATACGGGAACCAAACCAGGAAACATGTCCTGGTTGCCAAGGCGTCAAAGAGAGGGTTATTCCTTGTTGTCAGTAGTAACACTTGTGTCTTGGCACTGCCCTGAACCATTCCTCCAACAACTCCCAGCACCATTGGCCAGGGTCAGGTACATTAATGGCTTTGACCTAAAGATAATTAACACAAATTGGCTTTCCTGAACTTGAATGGAATGAATACAAACAATAGGAGCATAAAGTCTCTGCAGTATTGTTCCTTTTATCTTGATTAGGAGAGAAACGCTGTAAGTCTTGAAATACGAGGTGGTCTCACTTACAGTAGATGTTTCTTAATCTAAAACCAAGCGCTTTAATGGTTTTCGCAATAAGATGTAAAACTGCAATGTATAACGTATAACTGAACATAAAGTCATTGTAAATTGCCAACTAACAATGACTGGGAAAGAAGCACTTTTCTTTATATAAACATGCACTGTGTTGATGCTGTAATCAATCGGCTATTTCAGTCGGAGGTGGTTATTTTAGTGGTGATAATTCTGATTGAGCAATCAGTTTCAAGGTACTTCAAAATTCAATGTGGAATAACGACTCCAAATGGAGAAAAGCCAGGGTTAATCATGGTCGATGCTGCTTTAAAATATCATCCTTTATCTCAACTGTTCAAAGATGAAGTTCTGAGTTGAATTTTTTACCTAATGATTCACACAATGGTAAAATATTTTAAGTTCTTGAGGATGTTTTTTTGTATTCCCTTCAAAAACTTTAAAGCTAATTGATAACCATTCAGCAACAATATTTTACTTGAGCGAAAATAATTCAAAGAAATATGAGTTTCTAGAAAATATTTTCCACTTCAACCAGAGAAGGTTTCAAAACAACTGTGTAAAAATGATGTATTAATGCATTGTACATCAGTGATGTGAACTATGAAATATCATGAGGTGTATTGCAATACCTTTGATAAGATTCACTATTTCAAAGACAGTTAATCTCAATAAAAATTAATCTAACTTGATAAATCCTGATAAGATTCACTATTTCATAGACATTTAATTCAATATAAGATTCAGTGTTTCAAATACTGAACTTACTGTTAGATTTCTTATGTGAGTAGTTATAGTGTGTTTAGGAAATTTTGTCATGTAATTGTTTGATAACATCTTCATTAATTCCAGTAAATGATAAATTCTTTGGTGTCTTTCTGTGCCAAGCAGACGACAGTGCTTGCTACCCCGATACATACCAGTAGATTAAAGGACATCCCAATTCAGGTCTCATCAGATTGGACTTTCATCCACCCAATAAAAGTTGCTTCAGAGATTGCAAAGGTGAAAGTCCATAAATGTTTACCAATAATGCAACCTTGAAAATATCAACACAGTGAGTGAGTTTTACACCACATTCAGCAATATTCTAGCAATATGGTGGCTGTCTGTAAATATTTGTGTTTGAACCAGACAATCCAGTGATTAAAAGTATGAGCGTCGATCTACACAATTGGATACAATGACATGTGTCATCTCAGAATTTTATTCAACTTAGGATAAAAGTTGTTTAACAAACTGTCATAGTTTCAAATCGCTATTATTGGTTTGTATTACAAGGGGGTATGCACAATAAATGAAACCCCGAGAACAAGCAGGGTTGGTCCAAGTTAACGCTCACCACGTACCGCACCGGCATTTGTTTCACTGTTCCAACTACTGGGCTTACAGCTTAGTAATACAAAATATTAATAGGGATTTAAATATATGATCGTCAGGGGTTGCTTATTCCTGGTCTGTCTATGAAGTATTTTCTGATTGGCAAAAACTCGACTGCATTTACATTTCTAATATTCATGATATAAGAGTGAGTGAGTGAGTGAGGTGAGTTTTACGCCGCTTTTAGCAATATTCCAGCAATATCACGTCGGGGGACACCAGAAATGGGCATCACACATTGCACCCATATGGGGAATTGAACCTGGGTCTTCGGCATCACGATCGAACATGATATAAGTGACACTTCACACAAACAATATGTATATAATAAACAATCAACAGAGATCAAGGTTATTAGACTCCTATGGTTTACCAGGGCTCCAGATAACATTTCAACATCAGGAGTACGTACTGCTATTTTTTTCAATATAGGAGTACTGGAAAACAATAAGAGTACATTTAGAGTACTGAATGGAATTTAATGGTGTATCAGTAATCTTGTGTTTCGTTTCATATATGCACCACACCATTGCTACTCTTGTGTAAACAAGGTCAATAAATAACAATACAATACTTTTTTAGATAAATATGTCTATAAATGATTCTAAGACCGTACACCATTGCTGTGGAACGTATCTGCTACGTTTTCTAAATTATTTCCTACTGTATCGTGCTTGTTTTATATCCTTACATACGCCTATACGGCCCTTATCTGGAGCCCTGGTTTACCATCATTTATTCAAGGCCAATCAAGATTATCCCGCCCTCTACCCTTTGTCCTTCTGGCTTCATACCATTATCGATTAT